ATATGAACATTCAAAATTGCCATTATCATGTATACCATTTTCAGGCAAGGTTGTACTATGACCTGTCAGCAGAAGAAGCAAAAACGATGGGAATTCGTCGAAATATGGCTACCAACAACTTTTGCCAAATGGACGATTTTGTGATTGTCCAGCATATGAGATGCATAATTGACGAAGTTGCTGGACCAACAACTAAAGATGATGACAATCCAGTAAAGACTGAGGAATTTTATATGAGGACCAAATTGATGTTGGCTGCAGATGGGAAAACTGTTGTAAGTATTTTCATTCAGTTTTACCTTGTCCATAGTATTACATATAAAAGTAAAAGAAAATGAAGGAAACAAATTTCTTAGCTGTTATTGGCTCTGATGTCAAACAAACTGTGGTTTACAGTTTTTATCTAATCTCCTGCAAACTTAGATATTGTATTGACTAGTTTGGAATCTCAAAATAGTATTAAATAAATATGTGTAGGTTTTTTCTTCTCGTTCTTGTTTATTAGCCTGAATATTTGATATATTATTGCATTGTTTCAGGTCTTTTATATTTACTTTTGCTACGTTTTAAAATAAGATCACTCCAGATAGCGGGTACATAGTTGGTTTGTGGCTACTCACTCATTATTTAATTGTGGTAATAGTTATGCTATGTTTTGTTTCAATTACAATTATTTTTGTTAAATACTGTATTTTTGTAGACAACACTTAATCAGACAATCAGTTGTAGCCAGTAAGGAAATTTCAAAAACTATGATGTTGTATGAATAACTCAATATTGATTACATGACCAGACACTTTCAATGTTACATTCTTGTTAATTGTAATGCATAAATTTGTCAGGGCATCATTGGTAGTGAATATACCAAAAAGTGCCATGGTGTAATCTTCACAACAATCATTAAATCATTCTTGACCAAAGACTAATTATTTCACAGTACAAAGATGTGTCCTGCATAAAATATTTATAGGATGTAAATATTATTCATTAAATTTTAAGCTAGAGCTTCAAGATACAATTTGTGAAAGTTAAACTACACAATACTTATGTTTTTTCCCTCAAGAAAATGAATTCATTCAGAACACACACGTTGTTGGCTAGTTTGTCACGAAGAAACTATAGAATGTTGAAAAACATATTTGAAAAAATGAACAATTTAAAAGTTCATAGGTTTAAAGGCCTTCACGGAATAAAAACTGAAGACCAAGTATTCCAAGTACTGTCAGTGCTAAATTCAAGCCAGTCACCGAATTTTAAAGAATTTAATGATAAAATAAGGGAACTCAAGGTAAGTAATCGTTTATCAACTATATAGAAAATAGTACTAAACAATATAAAAAAAGATGCATGACAGAATTTTAGCATGGTGGATATAAAGCAGCAATGACATGCATGAACAATAGTATTTTTATCTCTTTTGTAGCACACTACTACAACAAGTGACAGTTATACAAAGAATAAAAACAAGGCTCCTAAACAAGTAAGTTTGGGGTAAAAGGAAGTGGTGCAATCAGGGCGGATTAGTAGATATAAATTGTGTTTTCAAATTGAAAACAAAGACTTTAGTGTTGTTTTTGCAGATCTTTTATAACAGGAATTTGGCACCGTTTCAAATTTTCACCATGATTTGTCTCCTTTTGGGTGCACTAGTATTTATGATTTTCATCCCAGTAACTTCACAGTAATGTCAAAGACACTTAAGTGACTGGGATTGAGTCATTTTCAATTATGCATTTTTACCTGAATAACAGCCATTCAATTTCTTTGCTTTTTGTGAAATGTATATACTTTCTCAAATGATCACCAATGTTTAATTAAGTAATGAAGTTATTACGAGAATGATGCAAGTATGCACAAAGCCAGTGCAGCAATTGTTTTGGAGGTTGATGTATTCCTGCACTTTTTAAATGCAATTTTTGCAGTATTCTTGTGATAACCTTATTATTATTAGTTTTACATATCTTATATCTTGTAATTATTTAATGACTGGTCAGACAAAAACACAACAAAATGCCCTTTGTGAAGTTTTTATTCGTATCAAAAACTACTATGAAAAGGGCTGGCAACATTTACTGTGTCTGTTATTTCTTATTTGGAATTTGCATTGCCTACTTGTAGAAGCGATTGTATTATTATCAATTTGTGTTTATTTGTTTAGTTACATGAACAAAAGA